CCAAATAAGAATTTCTCTTTTGGTGTTGTTATCTAAATAATGTATTTAGTTTTCGTATACACTTTTTTCACTAGTTTTAAATTTCTTGCTTAAAGGGAGTTTGCTGCATAGATGAATTCGATAAGATGGATCTTAAAGACCAAGTCGCAATTCACGAAGCGATGGAACAACAAACAATTAGTATAACGAAGGCTGGTGTAAAAGCTACACTGAATGCTCGCACTTCTATTCTTGCAGCAGCTAACCCCATTGGTGGTCGCTACGACAGATCAAAATCTCTACGACATAATATTGGCTTGTCTGCTCCCATCATATCACGTTTTGACCTGTTTTTTGTGCTGATTGATGAATGCAACGACGTAAGTTCCTTAGTTTTTGTTTTACGTACCCGATTCACATATAGGAGGCAAAGTAATCGCAATTAATAGTTGCTTCTAAACCTAGAAATTCTTTTACGGATAAAATCACACGTCAGATTATCTTGAGACCACGTATTTGTCAGATGCTTTAGGATCCTGGATGAGTTTTTTTGTTTATCGAAGTGATCTCACCCACAAGTTAACAATTCACAACATGACCTGAGAAGAACGATTGTGTTTCCGTCTGCTTACTGATTTTCTTACGTTCTCGTGATTGACGTAAAGCAAGTGGTATCGCGTCACATTTTGTAAATGGTAATGAGCTATTTGACAGAGACTTATTTACGAAAACCTGCTCCAGTAATTCTCATACTAATTTTGACCGACATTTCGGAGAAGATTCTAAAGACTGTTTAATTAATATAATACCGATCTCCTCATGCACTAATCTGTTCAATATGCTAACTTCTTACAGGATACACTGAGATATATCTGACAAATTACCAAATGAACTATGCTAATTTTGTGCAATGTATTTGTTTGACTGCTACGTTCCTTCTCATTACTTTTTTTCAGATCGTGGATTATGCTATCGCTCGTTCAATTGTAGATTTGCATATGGGGAGACATGGCGCAGAAGATACTCACACCATCTATTCAGTTGATAACATTCGTCGCTACATCGCTTTTGCTCGTTGTTTTAAACCAAAAGTATGGAATAATTTGTTTCACATTCAGTATTTACTAAACTTTGCCATCAAAATAATTATTTTCAATGGTGTTTATAGTTTGTTTCTTAGCTTTCTTCAAAGACTGGCAGAAAGATAATAGGGATCTAATCATAACATTCAGTCCTACCGAATATAAAGCTTGTCACAAATACACATCATCCTAAGTTTATAAGTAGACAAGTTGTCATTCGATATCAGCATTTCGAGATGAAAGTAACAAAAATATCAAAAGATTTGAAATAGTAGTGGTGTAAATGATGGTAAGGAATATTAAACAGTGAAGAACTGGGCGCTTGAACATTCTAATAGTAGTTATAACCTTTACAGAGTAAGTGTAACTCACGAATGGACAGGTACTTGGCTACTGATTTGCGTTTATTTCCTGGTCAAATATTTATGTTTTTATCATAGCCAGTTTCATGTAGTATCAGTGTGTTCTGTGCTGTTTTACAGAAGAATTGTTATGGTATCAATATTTAACTATTTACTGGTCAATTTACCATATGCCGTAGGAAATATAGTTGTCTTGTTATTCATTTGAGATTATCTAGTGATGTGGAATCATATTTTTCGAACTACATTTTATACCATCAGATAAGCGGGGAAGCTATGGAATGCATGGTTGAAGAGTACAAAAAAATGCGTCAGCGAGATGCTTCCAGTGGAACAAAGTCTGCATGGCGCATCACTGTTAGACAGCTGGAAAGTCTTGTTCGCCTTTCAGAAGCAACAGCACGACTACACTGTGCAGATACTGTAAGATTTTTATTTCATAAATTTTACGTATTCAATAACTTCCGTGACAATTCCACTCAAAATGACTTACCCAGTTCTTTATTGTTCGAGCTGTGGTGTATTAACTTAATGTCACTTTTAAATTTCGTTCCATGTGCACACTCGTTTATGTAAACCCTTGATTCGAAATTTTAGTCTTACCTTTAAAGGCGTAAATCAACCGATACCGCCAAATGACTGGTTTTTATTGTATCGAACTTTACAGTATATTTTAGGTCACTCTTGCCGCTTTACAACTAGTGACGTTACTTATGTTCCGAGTTCATCACTCCTATCATACATAACTTGTTTAGGGCACACAATTGTGTACGGTCCTCACATTCATGCCACATTTTAGCGCGTTCAACTGAATGTTTGTACCAACGTAATAGTCACTGTGTTGTCTTAAGGAACTGGAAATTGTATAAGTTATGAAAAATCTGATATGTAAATATTCAATAGTCATTTTGTAAAAGTCATCGTTGTCATACAAAATACTACTTGAAGTAGTCCATAGTATATGGAAAGTTCTGAACTGATAAGAAAATTTATTCAAAGCATCTAGTTCGTTTTACTTTCTTCTCGTGACTACTTGTGGCAATAGCAATTATTCCATGGATATAGTAGCTATGTTTGAAACAGTAGACAATCTTAAGCCGGAACTAATTTTTCAGCCCGCAAATCGGAACACTGGAGGAATGGTTATAAGTACGTTGTATTTTCTTAAATCATGCCATGTGATCGTATATTTAAAATAACAGGTTTTAACTAACAATATGTACATTACTAGGCATTTTGGCGCAAAGCTAAACAACGCAATTATAGTTAACTGATTTATCCACAGTAGGTTAGGGAAACTGTTATTAGATCAAGCAATAGCGCAAAATCAAGTCTATAAGAAAACATCCCAAACAGATCGTTTTACAACTCCAGGTTTCATGATCTTTCCTCGCGTCTTCCTAACACCAATGTATTAGTTGTCGCTACTAACATTTTTCTTTTATACAAGAAAACCGTACTCTATTAAGTTTTTTGTTCTTCATAACAGGTAACACAAGCTCATGTACGAGAAGCTTTCGCTCTCTTAAACAAATCCATAATACGAGTTGAACAGCCTGATATAAATCTAGAAGAGGAAGACCAACATCAACTGACAGATGCTTCGGAAACACCAGTTATTGATCAGGTATTAATTGAAAAAAATTGTGTTCTTCAAATCTTATCACATTTCTCACTTATTTTTCCACTTTAATTTTTTTAACTAGCCAACTACCGAGACAAATACAACCGCTGGACATTTACGAGTAACATATGATGAGTATAGACGGATTGCTAGTCTTTTAATTTTGAGGGCTCGAAACTGGTGTGAGACCTTAGCAACAGATAGTGAATCTGATCAAACTCCTGGTGCCCCAAAAAGGAGTGAACTAGTCAACTGGTATCTAGAAGAAGTTGTTGATGAATTTGAAACCGAAGCGCAGTTAGCGGAGGTTAAGCTTCTTGTCGAACGCATAATCGATCGCCTAATAAAAAAGGTAAGCTTATCACCACATTACTTTTCGTTACATTTGGCATTTGTTTACTTTTCGAATCCTGGATTGGAAGTATTCATGGTGGTTCTTTTGAAACGAACTATGTAGGCCATTGAGAGCTACAAAGATAAAGATTTTCAGAATCTTAGGCTTCATTATTTAAAATTTCGGAACTAATTATCTCATTCCCAAGATACTAACATATCCAAGCCATATAATACAAATGCACTGTTCTAGGTGGTCGCTTTTATTTTACTTGGTATTCCAGCGCTTTCGTAGTACCAGTACTTTCGAATAGCGTTGGCGAGTCCCAATCTCCCACAATTGATGTCGTTAATTTCACCGTTTACTTGATATGGTAATGTGCAACATTAATCAACGATTATTCGCTTAAGTAATGAAACAGTTACCGCGATGAGTAGTTAAGTGTATCAGGAATCCTACAACACACAGCGGGAGTACAAGAGTATTAAAAATACAAAAAACATATTTGTTATTATATTGGAAGCTCCTTTTGAGTTTATGGATTAAGAGTGGTAAGCAGAACATTTATAGATGGTTTTGGAATCCTTGCTTATCTTACCGCTTTCGAGTGCAAACAGATTTGTTTTATTATCTGTACCAAAAGTAAAATGAATAAGAGATCTACATATTGCTATCTATGTGAAACTGCGCAAAAACAACTTACCGCTCAAAATATAGAATTTCGAAAGTTACTTTTTCTAAAACACTCAACAAGTGATATGTCGCGACTGTATCTGACTTCTAAGAACCCTGATGAAACCAAGCACGTTGAATGAAGAGGAATAAGTCTTACTGGTCTTAGTCAAATCATTTCTGTCCTACTTTCATAGATTCGACCAGATATTGGCTTCATCGAATCCTTGCCACTTACAAAACACACAAATTATTCGAACTGTAAGATGTAATTTTTAGTAGCTGTGAGACATGAAGCACGCATCAAAACGTCTTTCTACTTATGAATAAGAAATTATGTAGTCTAATCATGTAACATTCACTTCTGCATTTCGCCCATAGCTCGACTATCAAATAAGACTGAAACATTCGCTTCAATATACGTTATTGACCAAGGCAACTACAGTATTCGTTTTGTAGTAAGTTTTGGTTAACATGGAACAAGAACAATGCAAAGCGTTAAATATTTCCTGCATTTCATAGATTTTTGATTTTATGGTAGTAATGACAGTCGGTTAATTACAATTAAAAGGTATTATATACTCACCGGAACACATGTGCTTTTCTGGTCACGTCTCTTCATGTAAGCGACGGGATTACGGAACTTAAGCGGAAGTGACTGACGTACCGTGTTATTAGTTAACTTTACAATAATATGTACTGTTTGTATGTAGTTATGGATGTGGTTTAAAAACAGTCTTATGTAAGGATATGCATTATCGGTTAATCCCGCTAATGTTTTAGTGAGTTATGGGGAATTAGATTCATTAGCATGTGTCTTTGACACTGAATCAACTTGCTTTATTCATACATTTAGTGTTAATGAAACACTGGAAACTTTCCTATTTCTTACAGGATAATATTCTCATAACTATTGGTGGTACAGGACTAGATGCATCTGCTGATACCGCTGATCCTTACATTGTCGTGCATCCTAATTACGTGGAGTAATTAGAACTGTTTTTCAGAAAGATGTATTTATAATCAAGATGTGCTTTTTATGTAATAAATTTTTTATTAATTATTATCTTTCCGTTGTCTACGTCTTGTGAATCGTAGTATGGTTTCAGGAAACGTAAATATACAGGAGTAAGCACATTTATTTTGCGAATTAAGCACGCGATTTATTCATATAAGAAAGGCCTGTACAAATTGTATCCATCACCAACGCTTTTGTGTGCTAATATAAAAAACTGAAACGGCTTAGAAATGCTGATGTGACTTACCGTTGTTTCCTCGGATGAACGTATCACCGTATTTGTTTTTTAACTGACCATCAACGTATTCTTCGGTCTGTTCCAACACCACATTCATATAACCGTCTAGAGAAATTAGAACGCCTACAAACTATTTAAGCTGCATGGATATAAAATTACCTCTGTAATCAGCACCTGAGTTAAGCTTAACTACCACTGGTCTCCCGACTATGAGTTTCAAGAAGTCTCTTGGTGTCTGTTTATGTGCCATCCCTTCGTTTGTCTAGAAAAGAACCCATCGTTAGTGATCTAAATCTAACAGATTAATATATATAACCAGTGTTTAAACCGCTGATGAGACTGTCCAGATTGTACACTTGTTCTGTCAATGTGGGTGTTAAATTTTCAACCAGTCTGGGACAAGTTGGATATTGATCTCTCATCAAGCTTACTATTATATGTAATGGATTATTTAGTTTCTTCTATTCTTTGCTAGTTTCTAAATCAGAGTGAGTCTGATTTCCAATGGCAAATATTTCCATACTATCGTTTAATTAGGTGCTGAAGCAGCTAGTTTTGCTAATTTCTTTCACAATCATATCGTTGGAGTTTGGTTGTAGCACTTCTTGATGAAATACTACCGCTTAAAACTTGTGACCAAGTTATGAAATAGTGTGCACAGTGTAAATAAACAAAAACAAGAGGACAACAAACAGACTTCTCAACTAGTGACCCAGGAATGAGATACAAGTTTGTGTGTTTGGTTTTAGACTATACTCTTAGTGTGATACTGCTCTAGTCGGATTACGTATAATGGTGTTTGGGTACTCTAACTTGTGGCTCGAAGTCAACCGCTTTTGATAAGTGAACCAGTACTTTGGAAAAGAAATGGGTAGTGGCATATTCAGCCACTTGAGCTTTCTGTCAATCATGACTTTCATGGTTACATTGTATAAACGCTTCCGGAAGAGATAGTTGCGTACACGTGAATGTAAACTAAATTGGATCTTTTATTTATTTATTTTAACACATAGATATTGGTTCAAGAAGGCACCAAATACATATGCGCCACACAGATCTCATTCGATGTTTGAGGGCTGTGATACTGCTTGGGTGCCCAAACTAAAACAGTTGGTTTTCTTAGGGGGCCACTCCCCGAGCCTTCGACCTGAAGGTCTGATCCACAAGGCAGTGGAGCATCGTAAGGAGATGCAGTCCCACGGAAGCCGGTGACCAACAATTGGTTCATACGCCATTTGTTCCCGCAGGATACTGGAGCCCATGTGCACCATTGGTTTGGGATCCGGTTAAAGCGCCGGACATTCGCTTTTCGTCCTCTCATTTTCGTAAATAACACCCCCGCCACGAGAAGGCAGTAAGTAGGACTTCCCTGTCAGAGGCTATATACGCGTGGTCACGTGAGAGCATTTCGAGAGGGAGAGCGGACTCTCCCCACTCTCGGCCGTACCAGGGCATTTGGGGGCAAATTGGATCTAAATTAAATCAAATAACACGAGTGTGAACTTCGGGACTCAGCAGACGTGTATAGATCTCCAAACTAGACTGAGCTACAACTGTTGCATGAAATGAATAATGACACTTCATGAACAGATAAACTTCGGTAGCCGGTGGTGGTCTACTGGTGGGTAGGTGTTTGTACACTAAACCACTACTCTCCTGCGTACTTAAATGTCACCTTTTATCAAATGCCTGTCAATTTGAAATGGCCGATGAGACAACTAGCCGTATGGAAGTTTGGAGCATTTACATAGCAGTCCCACGTTCAGTCACTATAATCTGATTGCAAGGTCTTCTTATTTTGGAAAGCTATACTGAACTTACAGATTTTGCAGACATGACCTGAGGATGAGAATGTAATTTTTACGTGCATCATAGTCATCATTCTAAAGATCTCTAGCCTATGACCGATGAGGTACTAATGTACAACTACCAAGTTCTGGATGGGCAGGTCTGACGTTTGAGTTGCTGCAAATGACGCAGGTTTAGCTCTTGACTTCGTGATTGAAAGCAAAATACACACTACGGATCTATTGCTTTATCAACATAGAGTGGATCTCGTTATATAGCCGATATGTGCTGATGGGACAATGAAACGAAGTTCCAGATTTCGTCTGAAACATTCGGGTGCTACGAATCCCAGTAAACCAATCACACGGGAAGTCACCTTAAGGGAGGTCGTTTAACGAACTCAATATAACAATGAACTTAGGAGTCACGTTTGCTTGATACATTAGGTAAGTTTATTCGGGGAGTAAAAATCCTAGATGAACAATATGTTAAACTAACTGAGTTGGGATTTATTTTGTAGTTTGATTCTCATCACATGTAGGAATACTTTATAAAGACATGAATGGTGATAGCAGGGTAGCTTTTAACAGCGAATTATTCATTTGGACGATATCTACTTGATTGATCTTTGTTGTTTTTAAAGACGCGCTGATCCCCTGCTAAATTAACCTATCTCAGTTCCATGTATTATTTTGAAGAAAAGTGTAGTCACTCAGTTAATTACATCCCAAATTTTGGGGGAAACCGCAAAGTCAAGTGATTTTCACCAAGGTTAAAGTGAAATTTTGGGGTTTTGGTGCCATTTTCCCGAAATTTAGTGGCTTCCCCAAAATAGGGAGCTCGGGATAGATTGCCAAGCACAAATATTTCCGAGAATAACGTGTCGAACAAATAGGAATTTCGCAGTTATCACGCAGACCTGTTAATAATTAAGGAAAAGAAATGTCTTTCTCTGTCAAGTTTAGAAAGTCTCATGCACTTCAAAAATTACCCAAGCTCCCAACTTGGGGGAAACGACATATATATATTGTTGGAGTTGGTAATGTTTAGCTTACAATACAGCGCAAATGCAGTAAAAACTAACGATAGTGGCCCTCACACATTAAGTAACTCGCATCTCATTAAATTACCTGCACGAGTGACCCAGAGAATGAACTTCCCACCTTAGAGGTAGGTTTTAAATAGTATTGTACATAGCGGTTCAAAATATTTGAATAAATTGTTTCAAAGGGTTCTGGATGAAACATAAGAAGCTTTAACTTACCGGGCTACTTTATCTAGTGGTAATAAATTCTTGATGCCTCCAGGTAAGAACCTGGGTAAATTTAACAATATAAGAGAAAGGAAAGACTAGCAAATCCTAGTGGGATACTGTACTTATTCCCTAAGAACATACCAAGTTTCCTCCTAAAGAACTCCTGGGAAGTGGCTTGGACTAGCTCAATTGACAGAGAGTCCATATATTTAATTACCTTTAAGGAGTAGAAGGTGTGCCTTTTGTTCGTCCTGTTATATAGTTTCTGTAGTTTCTGCGTGCTAATCCTAAGGTTTGTCTTAGGGGATGTTCATAGGTGTTCAGGATGCTAAAAGTCATTTTCATGTCACCTCTAAGACGCCTGAACTCTGATGGGTAAAAACTCAGTAATTGGAGGCGCTGTTCATAAGATTTGAATGTGGATCACCGAACTGATTTCGTGGCTCGTTATTAAATGTGTTCCAGTGTGTCCTTATCCTTTTGAAGTGAGGGAAGAAAAACTATTGTTCCACACTATAAATGGCACCAAACAAGACTGTTGGAGATCAGGTGGAAAGTCCATCCATCAGAATGGCCAGAAATGCACTTCAACATTGTCATTTCAAGATTTTCCAGAATCTAGACTTCCTTAAGTAATATCACCAATCGTTTGATTAATATGCCCTTCAAAGGTTTCTTTGTGATTTCTTACTCTGCAATATCATATTCTGCATAGTCAGTGTTCACCTTTTCTGGGACACCTTGCATAATTCTGTTTTTCCACGAAAGACCGCTTCTTGACATTCTTTGGGGATGTTCATGGCGAAATTCCGCCCAGAATATGGTGTATCAGGCGGTTTTTATACGCCCTCTACTGATTTCAGCGAGTGGACTGTAAAACATCCTCCAAAGAGTCTTGGATGGATTTTGTGTTTGGAATCCTTGCCTTAAGTGAGCCGTTCAACCCTAAGTGTCTCGATTTGAGAAAGTTTGATCTTACTGTTGAACTCACACAAGAGCATCCTATCACTTTTGTTCTATAAACCAGTAGGGAGGTCAGAGCTGTCCCAAAGTTTGGTAGCGTTATCATTTATTTCGGTATTGATACTACTTTGATAATATACCTAATCCCATAATTATAGATACGTCATGACGTGACTGCCTAATCTTTAAGAAGAACACATTTGAGCTGTGAATAAAATAGTATATTTAATGTGAATAGCGATAAGTTTGACATAACTATCACTTCTGTGAGGCTGAGAAATGCTATCTAACTGAATGAATGCCCCCGCGTTTACCATTTCTGACCTTCATCGAGTGTTGCATGTTGAATGTAAATGTTTTCAGTAATTATATGCTCGGCTTCAAAGATCGTGTGGTTAGGAACCAATTCCATTACAGGTTCATAATTATGAGAGAAGTTCACAATCCAGAAGAAACTAATTCTAATGTAGATGGTGTCCACTCTCCTAAAAATGTTGATTTAAATCTAACACTATGTTGTCGTTCTGATAAAGAGTCAAATATTACAGTTCAAATCCCTGTCAGTGCAACACACACTTACAGAAACTGCGCAACGGCTAATGGGAATATAGTCATAACACTTATGTAACTGGGAACGCACTGAACGTCGGCATATTCGAGCTTTGCGAACCATTGCATTTATGTTTAGCAACACTCGATTGTCCTCAAATTACGAAGGAGATAAAAACAAACCACAAACCTTGGAAATAAATTTCTGGACACATAGCCCTGGTAGCCTTCTTAGTCCGGCTTCCAGAGTGTAAATTGTCTATCAGATTTTATAATCACTAACAATCAGGAGTCATTTTTGAGGCTGGCTTTTCTGCTGGCGAGGATAAATATATTACAAATGATAACAAACTTGTTGAATCTAATTCCCCTCATAACACAAGTCTTACGTTAACTAATCCCACGAGTATTCATGGAACTATACTCGTGAACTATACACTAACGTGATTCACCATGACAACTCACAGTTTATTATTCTTTCATTCAATGCCCATTCTTTATCCAATAAAAATTACTCATCTTAAAACCCTCTTATTCCTTGTTAATCTAACTATTGTACTTACTACGGAAACGTGATGTGAATTATCTATTTTTAATCACTCTTATACGTAGGTAACTACGTTCTCTGCGAAACTATAATTTATGGACGAACCAATCAGATATAAGATGGCAGGGCTCAGATTTTGGCGTGACAACCTTAGATCTAATTCACAACCCTAATCACCAACTGAAATTCATAATTCTAATTCCTCACACTGGTTTATAACCCTCATTTAGTTCTGGTTATTAGGTGTACACTCTCAAGGTCACTTTATCGTCGCCGAAAGGTCGTCCACAAATTATAGCCTCACCACGTTTTCTTTTGAACCGACAGACGTCATGGAATAAGAAGTGGTACAATTATTAGTAATAAATCTCTGCATGAGAAAGTGCACGCCATTTTTACGGACACGATCTACAAATTACAACATTTGTTGGCTCACAGCATGCTTCCCAACTTATTAAGTTCGTAGTTGTTATAAAGTAGACTCGTAGAGCGCTTGCTGTAAACCATGACCTTGAGGAGACGCGTACGTCAAGTTCGCTCCAGACGTCAGAAGTTCCATAGCTGTGCCCTCAGAGCAAGATTCTGAAGATGGAAAAAAGAGAAACAGAAGAGCAGCAAGGCACTTAGATATGAACGCCAAACTCTGCTTAACATTTTGTAGCAGAACAGATAGAGGTATAATAAATAAGATTAAATTCGTATTATCTCTTTTTGCAGTGAAATGAAGCCAGAGGCTCCATATAAGAGAATGCAGAAATAAAGAACAATGAGTCGTGTGGCTTAGCAAGTTGGAGTAGGCTCACACGAAGGGAGGGAAGTCAAGGTTGGCATAAGGAAAGCGGTTTATTAGAAGGGAGTGTGCATATATGTGAAGTGTAAAGAATACTAACAACCATATCGTTTACTGTCCAATTTTTTATTTCTTTTCTTTTTTTGTCCATCCAATGCCAACCACACAATCCTAGTGTAAAAGTCCGAGTTGGCATGTTATAGGTTGGCTTAGTAGGATAGCTAATCCCGCATAAAATTGGAAACATGAGTCTGAGTAGTGGGCGTAGGAACATAATATATGTCACAGATTGATTGACTTATTCTCAGTCATAAAGAGCCCGGTACATACAAAATGTTCTGTCCCAAAAACATGGGTGGATTGAAGTCATCGCCCTCACCATCAGTGGTTGCTGGTCAGTAACTCCACCCTCCCTTCTTTTGAAATGTTAGGCTGATTTAAGCTTATTTTTGGATATATGTCATACCTCACACAATCCTCTGTGTTTCACAACATGTTGGAAAACACTATTTCTATAAGTACCATTTTACAAGCTTATCAGGCAGTTACAAGTTATGGACTATGGGTAAGGCATCAATGTAGTGCTTTAATGGACAACAGTATAAAGTATAGTTTGCCAATCAGGGTATAAGCATTAGGAAGGGTATAATGTAGGACAGTTGTTTATTAGAGCAAGCGGAAAAGCATAGAAGTATATGAGTTGTAGATAAGGTAACGAGTGGAAAAATAATATTAAGTGCTAGTCAATATAGTGTACAGATGAGTTAAAAGCAAACAGAGAATAAACAAGAAGAAACACACCAACTTGGTGCTGATGTTATTTTGTGTTGTTCTAACCAGCTGATGGGTAACAGGCTCCATAAATGCAAGACCACTGGTAGTAGGCAGTCGATTGTGCGGTCCTCTTGACTTTTTAGGATGATAGTGAGTGTTCCTTAGCGACCGAGTTTAGTTGAACAGTATCGACATGTTCAGTGAGTTACCTGTCTATTTCAAGTGAAGAAATAGGGTGGAAAAGTAACTAATATAACTGCAAAGTGGAAAAAATAAGGTAAACTGAACATGAAGTCCATTTTGGTCTAGACATGTAGAGAGCCTATGATGTCTGAGTGGGGCGCAGACTTGTTCGTATGTGCTAGATCAGTGCGAGTGAGGGCTTGATCAAGCAGTTTTACAGACTTATGTAATTCATCTGCCATGGGTATTTCGGAGGGAAGACTTCCATATTATTGCATACTTGGTGAAAAAGAAGTTTTCCCAAGTTTTCGATCTGTATTTCTCAACTTTTTTCCAAAGTTCGTATTCATGTGAATCTCGGGAAAGAACTATATTACATGTTGAATAAGTAAGTTTTTTAAGTAGTTTGATATAGTGAATTGAGAGGTTCATTCAATGAGCTAGGGCAATACAGGGTCACTGTTGAGGCATAAATGGATTGTCATTTTGTGGTAGCCGGGTATTTGGGCTGAGGATGAGTGGTTGCAGCCACGTTATGTGCAGTCTTGTTCTTAGTACCATAACGGCATCCATCATGCCCCCGTTTTGGCAGGGGCAGTGTACAGTGTTTTAGGATTTTCGCAGTGGCAAACGCTGTAACTGCCGCGGCTACGTAGGCTGGGTTGACTAGATTGTATTCCATTGAAGATCCGACACTGCATATCAGTCCTGTCATGGATGATCCTAATCTTTTTAAATGTTGGAATACGCCTCAGTAATGACTGACTATTAAGGAGGTGATTAGTTTCAGTGATACTACCAAACTGAAATAGAATGGGACAGGAGGCTTTAGTGTATGCTTTACGTAATCTACTTGAAACATAACAAAATTGCGACAATCCACATTCTTGTAATAGAGCATATTTGGCAATCTTTACGTTGGAATCATCAGGTATGTTATACACACTGAGGTCTTTTCAACGCTTCAGATGATATATGGCCAATTACATTTTCGGTGTTTTTTATAATTCCGAGATCGGGATTTTCTGGAACATTGATTAAATATTTGTACGGTAATAAGTCTTGAATAGTTTGGGTGAGGCTAAGTTCTGTTTGGCTGCTTTAGATCTACCAGTGATGAGATTATTGGAATGAAAGTTTTTAAGGTTTATGTGGTTACATACAGACCTGTTGCAAGTGTCTACTG